AAACTTTAATAAAGGAAAGAAAATATTTTTTTTGTATCATTATATTAGTATTTCGCATATAAAAATAATAATTTAAAAATTCCATATCTCTGGAAAGAAAATTTTTCGCTGTTCCATTAACATACCTTGAAATGTATAAAACTAAGAATTTTCAGATCGAACGAAATTCCTCTAAGAAGAAAAATCTACTTTGCATCATATTTCAAAGTCGAACTAACTCCAACATTTTTCCTCTCTCCAGCGGTGCACTTGGCTTATTTCGCAATTTCTGTTCCTTTTTCCTGGCGTATCCGGCTACTTTCACAAACAGCGCCGCGTTTTGACGAATAGTTACAGATATACTACTCTCGGCTGGTCCCGTTCTTTTCTTCTATTTCGGATTCCCGTTTAATTTCTCGGAATATTTCCGGCTCTAGATGTTCTAACGATGACTCGACGCAACTCGGACACCGTGTACAGATACACAACGCGCGTGCAAAGAGAAAGAGGAATGGAAAGGTGAAGAAAGAAAGAAAAAAGAGAAAAAAGAAGATCGTTTCTTGTTAGTAGAGCGTTACGCGACGAAATCGAAAGATTTACAGCATCGAGCAGGAACTGTGAGCATGACTGCGATCCGACTATCTTCTTGGCTCACTGGTCGTATATATGTTCGTTCCTTTTGTATCGAGCGTCCGTTCTTACGTGGAATCACCTACTTTCCGAGACCTTCGCTGCCAGGCTTACGTCGCCCGGCTACATTGTGGTCGTAAACAACTTGTTTCCGTCCCCAGTTCCACCCCCGTTTACCTGCCACCTCAGTTGAATTTCACGGGACGCCGGTGAATCGTTCAATCTCTATACGATATTGCAGCTTATCGGGGAACTGTGTCCTGCAATTTGTCCAAAATTATAGTTCACTTGTTTTTTATTTAGTTTATTCGAAGAAATCTTTTATATTTCAACCCTTTACGTCACGTGACTTGGAAGTTACGCACCATGTGTCTGTATTATTGTTTATATTATTGAACTGTTGCTGGCAAATTTTTTTACGGTAATTATTAATTTTTGGCGCTAGTATGGAAATGTAAAATTTTTATCGATCTCGTAACTTTTCTTATCATGCACGAAGAAAAATTTTATACAGGGTTAGACAGGGTTACCAGAAAAATTCGTATGACGGCAATTATTAACCCTTTGCACTGCTCGCAATTTTTAATATGACCTACCAGAAACTCTGAATCATTTTTACCATGGGCTACCAGCTACTCCGAGACTATTTACAAAGGGTGTGAGTGCGCCTCTGTGGAAGATACAGTAATGTCTCCACAAGTGTCATTCCGCAAGGAAGCTAAACCTGACACTTATAGAGTCAGGGACTACGTTTTCGAGCCTCGCGCCCGCCTTTGTAGTTTGCCAAACGTAGACAAGGACAGCGAATAAAAGATAAGGATGAAACATGAGTCGAGGCAACCAAGCGATTTAAATACCAACTTTTTTAATTTAACGTTTTTTTATTCCGAAATTTTTCTTAACATATTGATGAGATTCTTCTGATGAAAATGACATCAAACACGACATAATGTGAACAATATTTACTTATTAACACGTTCACTGTCACGCCACATTTACAGGTTGCTGTCAGGCGGCCACAAGAAAATACATTTTAAGCATAGGATTATAGTATTATGCTTTATAATTTCTTTTCTCAATTGAAAATAATGTCTAGCTAGCTATGACGTTCAAAATTTTTAGTTGACAACATTTATTTTATTTTAATTATTCTAAACATTTGAGGCACTCCAGTCACTGATGACCATCATGGCGATATCGAGGACACAAAACAACTAACTACTAAACCAAATCACCAGAAAAATTTTCGAACGAGAGTGAAAAATTGAAAGAATCAAAAGAAAAAACGCGAATTCGTATCTTTTTCGATTCTAGAATATAAGAAAATTTGAATAAAATACGCGACGAGAATTGGGGAGAAGCATAAGTTAAACGCGTAAAAATATTCAATAATAAACGAACTAGGGATGAAGCTATTATTTCAATACGCGATGCACTGACTCTAGTATTTACTAAAATTCAAAAATTCTCGTATAAATTCCGAAAATAGATTATTAATTACGGTAAACTACTGAGACGGTTTAATTAAGGGTGGGCATGGTGCTGCTTTAGTTTGAAATGATTTATAAACACATAATTAACAGAGGAAAAACCGTGAAACGGCAAAACGTCAACATTCTAATTGTTATAACATGTAAACAAAACTTTAAATTTAGTGTAAACAGAAAAAATATATAATACAATTTATTTCACGGTATTGCAACAAATAAACGTTGAATCAATATTTAATTCGTATAAAAACAATTATTTAACGTAATAATTTTACCTTCACTATGGCTATTTTTAATCTACGACCACAGGTCAACCTGATTTCTAATCCTCAATCCACCAAACACACGTCAAAAGTGAGAACAATTCGCGCAATTCCCATAATGCAAAGTTTCACATCATTTGGCACAGTTACTCACCGCTGACCAATCCCATATAC